TGATATTGATAAGAAAAAAGCATTCGAATTATATCAAAAAGCTGCAGACTTAAGAAATTTATCTGGAACAAGTAATTTAGGAGATTGTTATGAAAATAGAACTGGAACTGATATTGATAAGAAAAAAGCATTCAACTTGTATCAAAAAGCAGCAGATTTAGGAAATTCATCTGGTATAAATAGTTTAGGACATTGCTATTTATATAGAATTGGATCTGATATTAATGAAACAACTTCTTTTAATCTGACTTCAAGTATCAGGTATATATATATTCATCATTTCTCATTTGTTTTGTTAGTTAATAAAAATATGATTAATTATATGTTATTTTTTTTAAAAAAAATGTTATCTTCATTAATAGTAGGCTCGCTTTATTATCACAAAATTCTAAAAAATCGATAAATTTTAAACAAGATGCGAGTCGTGGTTTACTCTTGAACAAACATAAAATAATATTAACTTCATTCATAAAAAATGGTAAATGGGATATAAGTTTATATAAAGGACAGCCTCTAGTATATACTAGTATTGACGATTCGTCTGATATATGCATTAATTTTCCAATTATTGAAATAACTTATAAAGATGAATTAAAATCAAAATACTTTCGAATAAATTCAAATGGCGATGAATTTTTTACAAGAAAGATATCGGCTGGTGGTAGATTATTTATTAAAGAATCTAGTTCAATTACTCGAACACCATTTGATATTCTAAAATTTTATTTATTCTGCGTGTATAATTTAGCTAGATACTCTATAGAAGTTCAATCCAATAATTTATTCACCTTAAATCTTTTACAAACAATGGAAACATTGGATGGAGAAGAGATAAATACTCATGAAAAATTGACCAAGTGGGTGAACAATTTACACCTGCTGCAGAAAACATTGGATGAGGAAAAGCCAAATTCCCATGAAGAATTATTCAATTGGATGAATAATTTGCATCAAATGAAAATAATTGATGTAATATCTTATGGCAATATAATCTCCGTCTCCAATCCTCAATTAGAATACAGAAAACTAGATGATATTGTATCTTATGATGAAAGACTGCTCGGAATTATCAATTTTAAAGAAAAATTGAACTTAAAAGATTGGGTTGGAAATGCAGCGTATGATAATTTGATAAGCTGGACCATAGATTTTCATTTATTTCGGGGATTAATAACTAATCAAAATTATAAAACAGAAGTTAGCAAGAAAATTGCTATCGATTTTATCAAAATTCCTAGGGTTAATATAAGTAATAAATCTTGTCTGAAAATGATCAGGCCATCAACTAAATTAGAATTTTATTTAATTTCTAATAATATCGTTTTAAGTGATAGCATAAGTTCTTTTCCGTTTATAAAATGGAATGTTGGGAAATATGAAGGTTTTAGTTATATTCTAGTCAAATTTGAGCATTACGAAATTCTCTTAGAAGAAGATAATGTAAAGCCTGCAAAAGAATTTGAACAAGTCATAGAAAAAGCACTTGACAGTATGAAGCCATTAGAAGAATTACAACGTGTATTTGATGAATTCGGACACATATTTCCACAAAGAATTACTTTAGGAAGATCTTTAAAAATTATTTTACCGAATCCCTCTTTAAATGATACGTTTGAAAATACTAATGATGTTAATGAAATAGTTAAATCATTAGATAAGTTAGATGTTCCATATCTTATAACACAAGAAGGAGAAAGCATTAAAAAAAATAACTTAACTTCTTGGATAGTAGATACAAATGATAGTTTGAAAGTTATTGAATTTGATAAGATCATTCCTCTCTATAAAATTCTTAAAGTGGAACAACAAGAAAGGATAAATGATATATTAGATAAATTTAATGATCTCCAAAATTCTCGAATTATAATGACAGGAATTACTGATTTAAAAGATTTGGAATATTTGAAAGATGATTTGAATAATGGTTTAGTTAACAATATTTCCCATTACAAACGTATTGATGTAGAATTGTCCTTGAAAGATGAAAATTATGAAGTATATGGATCAGTAATTTCAGAAAATAACACAAAGTTAGAAGAAATTTACGTTAATTTTGGGTTGTACGACTTTAATGGATTTTATGCTATTATAAAAAAATTAAAAGAAATAAGCATTGATATAACAAAATGTTATATTTCATGGATGATTATTGGAAGACCTTTACAATTATCAATTTTTAGTCCAAATAATCGAAAATTTCAGGTTCATTGCATTAAAAATCATTTCAAATTACAATCTAATCAATTAAATTATCGAATTGAAACTTCCTTTAACTTGTCCGAAGGATATACTATTTTTGCACATGCATATCATTCATCAACAAATCATGAACCCAATAATATTATTAAGTTAATTAAATGGTCAAAAAATTCCATTAATTTTCAAATAACCAATTTATCTCAGCTTAATTTAGTTGATGATTTTTTAACGGAGACTGAGAATGTTATTAACATAGAGTTAAATATATGTATTCTATTTAACGATTATGAAAGGTTAAAGATTGATAATAACGAAGGAAGGAAGGGCCTTTTAATCGGGTATACTTTAACTAAGAAAAATTTTGATGAAAGTCTCAAGCAATCCATTTAAAGATAAATTCAATACAGGTAGTTTTAAATTCTTTTTTTATTTTAGTCAAAATATCAGTAACAAATTTTATTTTACATAATATTATGTACAGTCGCGTCGGAAAGTATTGCCCGATTTAAAAATAATGCCAAAATTGGCAAAACTTTATTAATTCTCATTAAAATTTACATAAAAAAATAACTTTTAAAATGGCTAATAATGTGTTGGCCCTCCTTTTGCTTCTAGTACTGCATTGATTCGTTGTGGCATTGAGGCAACAACTTCTTCAAAAACGGAGCAGTCCAAATTTTCCCATTCTTCACTTAGTGTAGCTTTAAGTTCACCCACAGTTCTAGGAAAGACCTCCCGACTCTGGATATTGTCTTTTAACTGCTTCCAAATGTTCTCTATCGGATTTAAATCAGGGGAATTGGCAGGCCAATCAATAATCGCAATTTTATTCTTCTTTAACCAATCTTTAGTTATTTTCGCGGTATGAATGGGTGCATTAACTTGTTGAAAACTTGCAGCCCTTCCTGTTAATTCACAAACTGTATGATGAAATGGATGGAGATGTTTATTTAAGATTCTAACATATGTATTTGAATTAATTTTTTCATTTCCTTCCTTATTTTCATCACAAAAAATCAATGGTCCTTTTATCCCTCCAGCAAAACATCCCCAAACCATAACTGATTTTCGACAACTTTTAAAGGTAGGTGTCAAACATTAAGTGTTAAACCTTTCCCCTGTATGCCTCCAAACTCTTATTTGTCGTGACTGCTTTCCAATCTCAATACTTGATTCATCAGAGAAAATAACTTGTGCCCAATCACGAGCTGTTTTTTCTTTATATTTTTCACACCAACTAATACGAGCTGATGCATGCCTTTTTGATATAAAAGGCTTTTTTGCAGCAACATGGGAATGAATTCCAGCATCATATAGTATCTGTTTAGCAGTTGTTAGACTACAACTCAAATTCAATTTATTAATAACTTCATGTAAAGGTTCACGTCGATTTTTAGTAACTTCATTAATGAGTGCATTTTTTTCATTATCATTGAGAGCAGATGGCCGTCCTAAACGCGGTAAATTTTCAGTTTTTCCAGTCTTCTTGTATTTGTCAATAAACCTGCGTATTGTGGTAGGGTCACGTCCCATTTTTCTTGCTATTTGTGCAGGATTGAAATTTTCCATATATGCTAGTATTTTTCCCTTCTCTTGAGGAGATAACTCAGTATAATGTGTCATTATTTTTTTAACTGTGAAACAGGTTCGGCAAGTTGTAAATTTATGGGAAAACAAAAAAAAAATAATAAAAAAGGGGTATAAATAATGTAAGCTAGGTGTATCATTACACAATACAAAATCGGGCAATACTTTCCGACGCGACTGTACTTTTATAATTATTATTATGTATTTTAATATGTATTATTATATCTTTTATCAATAAAACTCTATTTAGTTATTTAACGTAAAATTATTGACGTTCATAATATTTTGCATACTAGTTAATATTTTAGATAATAAATTACTGTAATAAATGGTCCATTTTTTTTGGATGCACAAATCGAATGACTTCTTTTTCAAATATTTTGACACTTATTAGTTACTCCAAACCATATTTACAAAGTTACAAAGCCTTTTTTTTACATTAACTAGTAAGTTATTTTGCAATTTGAACTTTAAGTAGTTTGTCTATCTTGAGGTCTGATTTTTCAGGAATTTTATTATTAATACAAGATACTGTATTCCTTTTTTCTCAAAATGCAGAATCGTTAAAGCTGCACATCTAACGGAACATGAAATATAAATATATATAATGGGTAGTCAAAATCATGTATTAATGCTTTGGTTGACCGCGCAGTCCAACGTATCGTAATTATAAGTGCTCTTTGTAAGTTTACACCGAGAATTACTGGTAAGACGAATACCAGTGATATAGGGTCGACAACCTGTGTGGTGTATGGTGATATTTAGCAGTGTGTAACAGTGTGTAAAATAAGGGGTGTGAACCATACACAGGTGATTAATAGCATTTTGGCCCACTCTAAATCACATGTTTGGCCCGTCATGTTATTTATCACCTGTGTAAACTGTCACATAGGAGACCATACACTACACATCTCCTTGACCCTACACCACTCATCTCCGCAGCACTCGAAAATTACTAAGTTGTATATAAAACATTAAATATACACTCGTTTGTTAAAATTTGCACGCGAGCCAAAGTTCTCGCGTAATTTAAATCCATAATCAATGATCAGATATTCTAGTTCTGTTTATTGAAGAGCATGGTAGCTCAAGTATTCAATATTACTTTTAAGAGACAACATACAGCAAGTACAATATCGCTGGACTTAAATTATTATTCTCAAGCCGACCCTATAAGAAATACTGTATGTATACGGAAAGAATACGTTTTGTATACATTTTTTGTACGTTTCTATAGATTCCGTATACAAATTCCGTATATTTAATAAGCAATTCATTTTTGAACATTTTTTAAAAAAACTAATATATAAGAAATGTATACGGAAAAAATTAATCATGCGGAATGTATACGGAATTTTTAAACTTAATATTTTTAGGAAGATAATTTTACAAAAATCCCGTATCATAACACGAGATCACATGATTGTGTATTGTTTTGTTATGATACGTTTTTTGTTTTTTATATAAACCCTTACTTTGGTGAGTTTGATCTTCCGATCTTCCTTTCTGTCTTTCCTTTCCTTTCTCTTTCTCTTGTCTTATTTTTGTTATTTTTTCTAAATTTTCCTTCTTTCTTCGTCACCCCCATTGAAAAAAATTTTTTTTTTGTCACTCCCTTAAAAAAAAATTTTTTCTTTTATTCCCACTCTTCTTTTTTTTAAAAAAAAAATTCTTCTTTCTATTTCTATTTCCTCTTTATAAAAAATTTTTTATTTTTCTAACTTTGACGTCCTCTCTTTAAAAAAAAAATTTTTTTTAACTTTTCTAACTTCGTTATCTCTCTTTTTAAAAAAATATTTTTTTTGGTTTATTCTTTATTCCCCTTTCTTCTTTATTTATATTTAATTTCATAGGCCAGCAGATTTTTTTTGTGAGAATATTCAGTTTCTTTTTTTTTTTTTGTAGATCAGTTTGGGAGTCCTTTCCTTTTTGTAGGATTGTTCAGGATTTTTTTCTTTTTTTAGGTCAGTTCAAATTTTCTTTTGTAAGTTGGGTTCAGATTCTTTTCTTTTTGTAGGTTGTTTCAGTTTTGTTGCTTCAGAGTCTTCTTTTTTTGTAGGTCAGTTTTGGATTTATTTTGTTGTTTTGGTTTCTTTTTCATCAGATGCTTCATAATTCTTTTCATTTATGTAGGTCAGACATTCTGGAGTTCTCTTTCTTTTTTTGTAGGAATGCTGACCTTTGGTGACTTGGACGATTGCAGATACTATATGAAGGGGGGTTTTGTTTCCAATTAAGTTAGACGTTCTTATGTTTCTTTTTTTTTTTTTTTTTAGGTTGTTTGACTCCAAATGAACCTGAACTTATAGATAATTTTGGTTGCAATAGGTGGTTTTAATAAGGAGGGAATTTTCATAATGTATTTGTATTTTGTTTATTTTTTATTTTTTATTTAATTTAATAAAGTAAAATTAGATTTATGTAAATACAATTATAGTAAACTGTAATACAAATAGTAAATTCAGTGACCAAATCGTATAAATTTCGTGATAAAATCAGTGATCAAATCATGTAAATTCCATATAAATTCCGTGCAAATTCCGTATCCAAACCATATTTTTAGTGATACGGAATTGTGCATTTTTCCGTATCCTATTATGATACGTTATTTCTAAGGAAAAAAAATCGTATAAAAACTTTATAAAAAACGTATCCAATTTTTTTATAGGGCGACTGTGGACAGGCAATTATCCATGGGAACTAGACGCACAAATTGGATTGGATACTTAAAATTCAAACATGTATAACAAAATTGTCAGCTCAAATTCTGACAAAAGCAAATGATAGGTTCTAACCTACCCATTTTGGGCGATTTTATTAATATAAATAAATATTTATAAATAAAAGATTACAGTATAACAATAATAACTAATGATGATATTTCTTTATGGATTAAAAAATATACACTCAATACATTCAATTTTTGATTTTTTTGTTTGTAATGATTTTGAAGTACATTTCTCACAATTCTTGCAAATATGTTCTAAATATACTTTTTTACTTTTTTGATTCATAAAAACTGGTAAATAACTATCAACATCTGATAAATATAAACTAATATATTTTGGATTCAGGTCATGAAAATGTTTACTAATATCAAGTTCTTTTTGCGAATGATCTAATTTAATTAATTTGTAGGCTTTATCAGGACAATCTCTGATGATAATGGTACAAAAAGTGAATTTGGGTAAATTGACATAGCGCTTTGTTTTTAAGCAATAAGGAAATATTTCTATATTAAGTTCATTATGTTTATCATATAATTTGTGGAAATTATATCCAATTGCAATTGAAGAATTCAAATAATTCAAATTTTCTAATACAGGAATTCCCAAAAAAGGAGTATTTGTTGTTATTAATTCATCTTCAAATGGTAATACCATGCCAGGTTGGTTTGAATTATAAGTAGTGCTTATCAATTTAACATTAACATTTGAAAGAATGCAATTAAAATCTACATCGTAACCAACGATCATTATTCTAACATTCAATTTACATGTACATTGTTGGAATTTTTTTTGAATACCATGAATTATAATGCTGGGCTTTGTATTTTGCTTTTTCAAAATTTGGCAGTTAAAAAATAATTCTTTTGAGTTTTCGTCAGTATCAACAACTGCTGCAAAGACATCACAATCAGCTTCTTTATTTAAAATGATGTCTGAAATATTTCTTGGTATATTACTTAATTCGATAGTTCTATATCTTCTAGGATCATTTAAATAATAATATTGATCTTCAATATTCGTCGTATAAAGGATTCTTTTTCCAATAGATTTAAATACGTCTTTATATAAATCATCAGGTAATAATTTAAAAACACTAACTGGATCTTTAAATTCTATGCAATCCCAAGTTTGATAATCTTCTAAAGATTCAATCCAAGCTTTTTCATCGAATTTTTCACCAGCAGGATGCTTTCCTCCAAGTAATCTCATACGATCAGAGCTGTGGAAATTTGATTTTTTATTTGAGTCGCCAGAATCACCTCCTATTTTTGCATTCGAAGATACAATATTCACGTTCACGGACCCTTCCTTAGATTTATTTGTAGATCTTTTAGATGATGATCTGACGCCTTTAAAATAAACTCTTCCACCCAAAATAATTTCAGTTGGAATAAAATGACCATATTTCTCAATAATTTCAAAGAATTGTCTAGGCTCTTTAGATTCTATGGCATGTTTGACATCATTTTTAAAATTTAAATTTTCTTTACTAAATTTCAACGTTGCTTTGCCAATTTCTGTATATTTATAAGTTGAGTTAATTTCATCTTTAAGATTTTCACTTTTTGATTTTCCGATTGATAATCCAAATCCAATAAAATCCTGTAGGTTAATATCAATACCAAAAAATAAATTTGTTTTCTTCATCCAATCCTCTTCTGAGTTAAATTCAAGTTGGTCACATTTATATCCTTCAGAACCAATTAAATTAAATTCACAATCCTTCAATTTAAATGCTCTATTATTAGCTTCTTTATTTCCATCAAAGCTCATAATTCGTCCGTGGTCTAATTTACGTTTCTCATTCAAATAATTCCAACTTGGGCTTGAATTTTTTAATAAATACAAAAATTTGTTTTCTGAATCTTCAAATACAATTTCATTTAAAAGCATATCATCTTCATCTTCACGGTCAATTTCTGCAAAATCATCATCTATTTTTCTTGCGAATAGTAATATATTCATATCATTGATGCCTTTCTTGAGTTCTTTACGAATATCAGATAATTTACTTTCAAGATTTAATTTTTTCATCTTTTTTTTTCGTGTTGAGTCAGCAATAATTTCAGTAAATATCATATCTTTTTTAGACATTTTGAATAATTAATAAGTTAAAAAGTTACAAAAATTTTAAAAATTTTCGCTTTCATTTCTTTTATACAATTAACGTAGGTAACGTTACATGATTAATTACACGATATCATAATAGATAAGACGATCTACTTGTTCGTTGCACTAGTTACGCCAATGTATAACGCGCATGACAATGTTATTTGTGATACTAGCCATGAACAATTCTTGTGTCACAAAACAAAATAATGATCGCTTGGTGCTTATTTTTTGTTTTTCAAGTTTTTTTTGTCAAAAGTCAGTGGTGCTTAAAATTGGAAGAATACGGTAAATGGTTAGATACAAAATGTGTTCAAATGTTAATATTTCCTTATTCCAAGTTCCAGCAACTGATAAAGTTTTGGACCAAATAATTTTCGTGTTATAGAGAATCATTTTAATGATTGTCATTTAGGTCATTGTTATTTAAGTTATTTACAATATTGACCAAATTTAAGCTTTGTACTAATTGAAAATGGGCTTTAATTAAATATATATGTAAACACTTGATAGTTTGTGTCATTGATGTCATATTGGGCAAAGAGTGTAATTACTAATTTTATACTGTGCAGTATGATAGGGGTTGAAATATTATCCTAACTTTTGGTTTATTAAATTTAATCGGTTTTGATTTTAATAAACTTTATTACGTCAAATGGTCAGAAATTTAAATTTTTGGAAAAATTTTAAATTATAGATGGGATATCGGTAATAATCATGCGAAACCTTCTTTTGGTGCATAAAATCGGGTAAATCAATAATTAATAACAAAATTGTATTACCTTGCACGTCGTTATTAAACCTCAATCATTAATCAAAATTTTCCTTAGTTAAATAAAAATATATCTCTTTGTATTGTTTATATTATTTTATTCGAGAACCTCATGACGGCCTGATTATTTTTAAATAAGATTTATCAATTTTCTTTAAAATTCATTATCTTTTACAATAATAGTTTTAATAACGTTTCTTTTGTTTCTTTTGATAATTGTATCACTAATTCATTCATAATGGTAAACGTTTCATCTCTAATTGAAATATATGAGAATAAAAATTAATATTGGAACATAAAACAAAGCAAAATTAATAAAATAAAATACTTAATAAACAATTTTGACAATATTTTTTTAATAATTTCAATTTTTTGTTCTTACAAATAAAACAAGGTTTATCGCAACTATAATAAACATATTTTATCAAGAAGAATGGTTATATATTATAACAATTAGAAGATAGTATTATTACTATTATATATAAATTTTGGATTTAAATCATTAAACTTGACTATTTGACCGTTATTATTTATTAAGTACGCTTTTTAATTATAAAGGTGCTTTAATATATTCAGGTAACAATTTTTCTGTCCAAATTCAAAAATAACTTTTCGCAATCAAGCTATGTAAAAAATTTTCAATGATCATTGTACATCATCATATTAAATAAATCCAGTGTTTGTCCCATTATTATGTAAGTAAAGCACGTCCTAAAAAAACTTTTCCAGGTAAAATTGATCATGTGATTATCAAAATTGAGTTTATTCGCAATAAAAATATGTTCTTAATGTCAAAATTTTTGTCTTAGTTTTAATAAATTTTTAAGCACTTTAAAAATAATAAATTTTGGTGTATAATAATTAGTGATTGTAACACGAAAAAAATAATTAATAAAAAAATAACACTAAAATATCTCTAATGTCTATATTCGATTGATATTCGTCAACTTACATCGGTGCTTAATTTCGGTTACGGTACGTTTCGCCGAAGTTCATTTCGCTGAAAACCATTTCGCTGAAGCCATTACGCCGAAGGTAAGTTTTGCTGAAGGGACATTTCGCGGAATCCTTGTCCATTTCGTATTTCGTCGAAGGACATTCGGTTAAACGATATTGAGTATGATATATACCTCAGATGTTGTATAGTATAGTTGACGAAAATCTATACAGTATAGTTTTTATCTATACAGTATAATTTTTTATCTATACAGTATAATTTTTTATTTATACAGTATATTTTTTTATTTATACAGTATAGCTTTTATCTATACAGTATAGTTTTTTTACACTATACTATACAACATCGGAGGTATATATATATCATACTCAATAACTATATTATCAAGGACATTTCGCAGAAAATTTTAGTGATTAACGATCATTAAAAATTCATGCTCAAAGTACAAATTCTTTTTAAACTATTTCATTTTCATTTTATGATGATTTTGTTACCTTTTTTTTTAAACAAACGTGACTTGATATAATGTATCAAATAATTCGTTTGTCTTCTCAAAAAAAAAAAAAAAAAATTAAAAAATTCCATATTTTCGGCGAAATTTCCCGGTGAAATGGGTTTCGGCAAAATGCCCATTCGGCGAAATGTCCAATCGGTAAATGACATTTTGGCGAAATGGCACTTGGATGAAATATCCCTTCGGCGAAATTGGTTTGGCGAAATGTGTTTCGGTGAAAGGGACTTCCGGATACCCTTAATTTCGCGATATTAATATCAGTGGATTCATTTTTATAAGGTGATATAAAATTTTATTCATCATTTAATTGAATATCTATAAAATGTTTAGCAATAAATTTAAATTTCAATTAGTTTGCAATTTGTGGTAGAATAATTTAAACCAATAAATAATTTACAAGTATGTTGTGAATTTTGTGTGTTATAGAAAATTGCTGGATCCCAGGCAAATTTGACTATTTTGTAATACATTTATTTATACGGTTACAGTACGATTTCCTGAATGCCTTTTTTCTGAATATATCTTTTCCCGAAGTCATTTGCCTGAATGCCAATTTTCCGAACTGAACATTTTCCTGAAATATACAATTTCCCGAATCCTTATTTCCCGAATCCAATTTCCTGAAGTCTAATTTCCCGAATCCTAAATCCCAATATCCTGAATCCCAATATCCCGAATTCAAATATCCTTAATTCTAATATTCCGAATCCTAATATTCCGAATGGACAATTTCTTGAATTATATAATAAACTGTATATTTTCGTATGATTTATAAATAAACTATATATAATAAATTTAAAAAACAAAGAACTATTGATAACTATAAGTTTTATTATTAAAATATAAAGTATTATAAGCAGATATAATGTTAACAATTGTAAAAATTTTTTAAAGTACTGGTTATAAATGAAATTTATTAGAGATTTATTAATATAATTCAACTTTTTGTAATATTAAACTAACGCTAACTGTATGTTACTAAACATTTATTAATTTCGCATTATGAATAGAAAAATTACTAAATGAACAACTTTATTTATATAAAAACACAATTTACACTAATTTATTACTTTTACATACTATGAATAATTATCTAGTATAGTTAAAATTTCCACACATCAATTTGTTGCAATAGAAAGCATTAAAAATATTCCTTTATTATATCAAGTGTTTTGACTACATCAACTCTGTTAGCTTTAGGTGCATGACTATGTTCTTTAGTACTTATCAATATGTGTTCCTCACCCTCTAAGTCAGTTATGGCTCTTCCACTGCAGCTATACTTTTTTCTGAACTCACAAGACCAATAATATCTTTGGTTTATATTTTTTTTCTTTTGTATACAAATATCCATATACATTGATTTTGGATTACATTATTTATTTTAAGTATTTGTTTTAATACAAGTTAGTTTATTACATATTATATTTATATACATTATATATAATTTATTGATTATTATACTAAATAAAATAAAGGTTGAGTTTATGAAATTAATAATTCTAATTTATGATGTAAAATTATATAAAATAATATTAAATTCAGTAAAATGTCTATTCAGAATATCAGGGTTCATGATATTGGAATTTGGGATAAAATAATTCAGGATAAAAGAATTCGGGACTTAACGCTGTAGAAGGTCTATTATAACTTGTTATTGTTGTGAGAAACGAAAAAGTACTATCCAGAGAACTGAAAATAAATTTTTTTTTAATTAAATTTATGAAGAGTTGCATAAAAAGCCTTATTTTTCATACACATACTTTATTTTTTCCAATAAAGCTTCATTTTGTTTCTTGATAAGGTCCAATTGTTCTTGGAGATCGCTCATAGTCACGTAAAAGTATCAAACGTATCGTAAACGTATAAATGTTGAAGAGAAAAAAGTAGGAAAAATACGTGGATTTTTATGATGACTGGTGTTTAGTAACATCAGGTGATAAATTAAAATCGCGTAAATCGCGTAGTAAGCAGATACGTGAAACAATGTGAAACATGACCTGCCTATATATAGCGATCATAAGGGCACAAACACTTTAAAAGGATGGATCTCAGCCCATCATTTATTGTCAGGATTGTCGGGTACTCGGGTTAACTCGGCTAGTTGGAAAAGATATATAACACGGGACATATATACACATATATATATGATTGGCGTAGTATAAAGTATAATTGTATATACTATAATGTAATTATGTTATACAGTTTATTTTGAGCTTTACCAAATATTACCGAATATTTTAAAATTTCGAGTTCTTTAAAATTTGCTAAGTCCCGTACATTATGAAATCAGTTATAATAAATTTCAAGATTTTTCATTTCGATATTTGTATTTAGAGCTTATTAAGTGTCAGGCTTATGAAATGTCGGGATTTAGAGTGTCGGGATAATATACCAAACTCTCGAATATATATATAAAGAGAGCGAATTCAAAGAAAGTACTAACAAATTATATGTGATAAAACTCTCCAAATACATATAATAAATAAAATAATAAATATATTTTTTTTCTAATTGAAATTATGCCTAAGTGTGAATGTAAACATCGTTTAAATTTATCAAATGGTAAGGGAAGAGTACTTCATAGGACAACAGTAGCTCGACATTTATTAGAAGAAAAAGAGGCACAAGCTCTAGAAGATGAATACCAAAGACTTCATCCTGAAGAAAATCTTTATCATTCTGAAGAGGAAAATTTAAACGAAGAAAACTTACGTGAAGAAGACTTATATGAAGAAAATGAATGATCATTTATGGTGACAAGTGATAATGAAGAAGAAAATGAACGATCATATATGGAAATGTGTGATAATGAAGAAATTCCAGAAGAAACTAATGATGATTTTAGTTTCCAAAATGAAGAAAATGAGAAAACTAATAATTATGAAAATGAATATTATTATTATTATGAAAATGATGATTCAATTTCTGATTCTCAAAATGAATCAGAATCTGATAACATAAATTCTAATGCTGATAATGAAGAAGGTGAATTCCAAAATAAATTATTAATAGTATTTAAATACATTAACTATTTATTAACTATTTATTAACAATAGTGATAAATTTTTAGATAATACAATTATTTCTGATGAATTGCTTGAAGGATTAAGGCTTTTATATATGAAATCAAATTTTAATTTTTCTGAAGCTGCATTTAATAATATATATAAAGCTTTCAATAGAAATAAAATGAGCCTAAATAAAATAAAAAAAATACTTGATTTGATAGTAGGAATTGAACCAAAAATATACGATATGTGTGTAAATTCATGTTGTGCGTTCGTAGGAGTTTTAGAAAATGAAAGAAAGTGTAAATTTTGTAAAGAGGACCAATATTATAGTAATGGTAAATCAAGAAAAAATTTACCTTTTGTCTCTATAATTGAGCGTTTAAAGCTTCAATTTAAAAACTCTAAAAGATCCAAAGAATTATTATATAAGCATAACTATACTAATAATATAGGAGATCTTGTTCATAGGGACATAGGTGATATTTTTGATGGGCTGATTTATAAAGAGTTATTAAATGATGCATATTTTTCCAATCCTAAAGATGTTGCATTTACTGCATCTTGTGATGGTTATCAAATATTTCGACAAAAAACTGATGATTGTTGGGTATTTCTTTTTATAAATAATAATTTGCCTCAAGAATTAAGGGTAAAAAAAGAAAATTTAATGGTAACATTAATAATCCCAGGGCCAAAACAACCTCAAGATTTTAATTCATTTCTCTATCCATTAATTCAAGAGATGAAAATGTTACAAGGTATATTAAAAAATATGAAAAATAATAATTAATATAATATTTATTAATCATATTTTTGTATTTACAGATGGAATATTATGCNTAGGTGAAAATATTAATAAACGGTTTAGATTATGAGATAAGTAGGTAAAAATATAAAAAAGGTGATTTAGGTTATAAAATATGTAGCATATAAGTAGGTGAAAATATTAATAAACGGTTTAGATTATGAGATAAGTAGGTGAGCCAGAATTGGGGTTTTCATACTACTCAATGACCCTATAAAAAATTTTATCTGCCTTTCATGGATCTATTCATGGAAAATGCAAATAATTTGATAAATTCCATGATATAAGATTATTAATTCTGGAAATATGAGCCTTTTATGAAAAAAAGATGGATATAAAAAACGGATCAACTTTTTTTATAGGGTGAAGCTTTTATCTACAATAACAATACACACATATATTAATATATAAGGCATAATATATAATATATAAACTAATTGTTTTCAAGATAAGATAACACATTTAAGTTACAGTATGAAATATAAAAAAAAAATTTTTTTTATATATTATCTTCCAAATTTTAAAAAAACATCTTAACTCTGAGTAATTATTCACCCTCTTTTTTTTACATTGAATTCTTTCCAACCCGTTACTTTCCTAAAATCTTCTTTTTACATAATGTCTAATGACCTCGCTAATTTAATAAATGGTCCAACAGATGAAAGAATCATGTCAAAAGTAAGTGATCAAAATAATAGGTCTCAAGGAACAAAATCCCGAAATCCTAAAACTCATAAATGTCAAGTTTGTACTCGTGAATTCAACAGACTGAAACATTTAAAATGACATATCTGAACTCACACTGAAGAAAAACCCTATAAATGTACTTGAAACAAATGTTCCAAAAGATTTTCCTGGTCTGACAAATTGACAAGACATATAAGAACTCATGATAACGCGTTTAAAAGGGAAAATAATTCATTATCCCCATCGTCCTGTGCAATTACAACATATATTTAGTGTTTTGAAGGGGTAGAGTCGGGTCAGGTTTTGAGGTGTATTTGAACTCGACCTGAGTGTAAAAGTCCCGATTGTGGTCTGACTCAGAACCCATCAAGTTGTATTTAATATAAAAAAATTGAAATTTTTAGTTTAAAAAGATTCGGGTCACTGGGTCAAAGTAAAGGTATAACCCGACTTAACAGGTCAGGTCGAGTTCATGCAGGTTATGGGCTAGTTTGACCTGACCCTTTCGGAACACTACTGAAATATTCTTATCAAATCAACAATTTCACATCCTAATTTTTCATGGCAAAAACCTTTTAATTGTCCAATTAATAAATGTACGAAGAGCTTCAATCAACATGGACATTTACCAAGACATGTACAGTCTTGTCAATTAAAATGTAATCGTAAAGAAAATGAGAAACCTGTTCATCCTCCAAGTCCTGTTACATCTTGTTCCAGTGGCAGTTTAACGGATGCTGATACAGAAAGATCCCAATTTCATATAAAGATCCTGTTATTATTAATCCTACTCCCAGGAGACCTCCTTTTTATGTAAGTAAACCTACACCGATGGAATGCTCAAAGAGGATATACTCTACCAATTACTACGCCCTGGGCAAATCCACAAATTACATCAGCTACACCACATAATAGCATTAGTGATATTGCTTGTGTCATCGGGCTGGATGTGGGTCTCGCTACTGCTCCACCCACCTCGGCCTCACGGCCTCGCAGTACCTCCTTCCCCCCTACGGGAGATCAGGAATCCCCTATATCTGTCACCATCTGTCAATAACATCTGTCATATAACAATATACTAAAAAAGGATAAAATAAGGGAAAAGAGAGGAAAATACGATAGAATCAGAGGGGTATGACAGATATGACAGATATGACAGATATTTCAGAAAAAATCGGGAGAGGGTATCCCCAGAAAAAAGTTTTGATTTTACCCCCAGATCTGTCATTCTGTCATAGTTCTGTCATATGATCAGGATTCCGTCTAATAATCTGTTGGAAGCAGTAAGATAGCA